AAAGATGGTGGAGTGTGATGGTCATCATTACTCTAGGTACATGTATGAAGACACAAAGGATGTGACTCTAGTACACCCAGAGTTAAGAAAAATTGTGCTCTATATGTGTAATATGAATTGTAATGCATTCTGTTGTCATATATAACATTAAAATTTAAAGAAATGTAATAAATTAATTCAAATTTAAAAAATCATAACTCTAGCCTGATTATGAGAAAATACCTGGCAAACTCAAATTGAGGGAGATTCTAAAAAATACTTTAGTGGTACTTCTTAAAAGTGTCAAGATCATGAAAGACAAGGAAAGATCCAGAAGCTTGTAAATTAGAGACTAAGGAGACAAGACAACTAAATACCATGTATTTTGGAGTGAATCCTGGAAGAGAAAAGGTACTTTGGTGGAAAAACTGGCAAATTGGGTGACCAACCATCCCAGTTGGCCTAAGTCTGAGGGGATGCAGCTGCTGCAGAAGCTTTGGCAACCTCCTCTAAGGCGGGGGTTGGGGCTGAAACTGTGGCTGAGGCAAGGCTGAGGATCAGGAGTAGATGCTAGTCACCAAGCTGAGATCCCTGGCCAAGGATTTGAAGATCTAGTCCATGGAAATCTAGCTCTTCTTTCTGCCCATCAAGGAGTCTGAAGTCATTGACTTTTTTCTGAGGGCATCACCCAAGGATGAAGTTTCAAGTTCATGCCTGTGCAGAAGCAGACCTGCGCTGGCCAGGGGACCAGGTACCAGGCATCTGTTGTTATCTGGGACTGCACTGGTCAATAGGGTTGGGAGTTAAGTGCTCCAAGAAGGTAGCCACTGTTCTCTGAGGGGCCATCATACTGACCAAACTCCCCATTGTTCCTGTACAGAGAGGCTACTTGGGGAACAAGATGGGCAAGCCCCAAACTGTCCTTTGCCAGGTGACAAGCCACTGTGTTTCTGTGTGGGTGTGTCCCATCCCTGCCCCCAGAGGCACTGGCATCATCTCAGCCCCTGTGTCCAAGAAGCTGCTGCTGCTGCTGGTATTGATGACTGTTACACTTCTGCCAGGGGCTGCATTGCCACCTCGGGCAATTTTGCCAAGGCAACCTTCCATGCCATCTCCAAGACATATAACTCCTGAACCCCAATCTCTGCAAAAAGACTGTGTTCACCAGGTCTCCCTATCAGGAATTCATCACCTTGTGAAAATCCATACCAGAGACTCTGTGCAGAAGATCCAGGCTCCACCTGTGGCTACAACACAGGGTATTTATACAAGAAAAATCAAGCAAAGCCAGGTGCAGTGGCACACAGCTACAATCCCAGGGACTCAGGAGGCTGAGGCAGGAGGATCACAAATTCAAAGCCAGCCTCAGAAACTTAGAGAGGCCCCAAGCAACTTAGATCCTGTCTCAAAAATAAAAAGGACTAGGGATGGAACTCAGTGATAAAGTGCCCTTGGGTTTAATGCCCAACATCAAAAAAAGGAAAAGAGGGGGCTGTGTTGTGGCTCAGTGGCAGAGCACTCACCTGGCACATGCGAAGCCCAGAGTTCGATCCTCAGCACCACATAGAAATAAATAAATAAAGGATAAACGTTAAAAAAAAAAAAGGGGGAAAGAAAGTGAATGAAACCTGAAAAAAAAAAAAGTGCCTGGGAGGTTATAATTTTAGCCAGGATGCCTGAAAAGAGCCTCACTGAGAAGGGGGGATTTGAGTAAAAACCTGAAGGACGTAAGAAGACCAAGTACAAAGGCAGAAGTGTGATCCACAGTGGCAGAAGCTGCTGCTGGAGGTCTGAGCAGTAAGTTGCACCGTGGAAGCCCCTGACGACCTTATTGAGAATAGTTTAGGAGCAAAAGTCTGATGGGGTGGCTGGGCACAGGGGCACATGCCTATAATCCCAGCAGCTTGTGGGGCCCAGACAGGAGGATTGCGAGTTCAAAGCCAGTCTCAGCAAAAGCGAGGCGCTAAGCAACTCTATGAGACCCTGATTCTAAATAAAATACAAAACAGGGCTCGGAATGTGGCTCAGTGGTTGAGTGCCCCTGAGTTCTATCCCTGGTACAAAAAAAAAAAGAAAAAAAAAGTCTGATGTGCTTGGGCTCATGAAAAAGGGGAAGAGAGTAATTGGAGACTGGGCTAACACAGGACTCTCCCAGTGACGTTCACAGCAATGGGAAATAGAAAAGTATGACAACTGGAGAAGAAGAGGGTGGAGGAAGGTTGTGGGTGATTCATAGAGAACTCCATGGCCTTGAATGAGTGAGGGGAATGGGCTCCCCATGCAGGTTTGGCTCTGCCAGGAGCATGGACAGTGAGCCACCATAGCTGTAGAGAAGTCAGGCACAGGTGAGGGCTGCACCAGTTTTCCTAGTGCAGTAAAATGCCCAATCAGTCATCATCTGCTCTCCAAGTGTCACCAGTCTCCTCCTTCACGCCTCTGCTCAAATGTCACCTTCTCAACAAGGCCAACCCAACAGACCCAACCATTCTACCTCAAATCACACTGTGTGATACAAATTCCTCCACCAACACCTTTACCCTGCCCAGATCTATTGGCTTCTCCCCACTCAATGCCAATAGCACCTTTTGCCTAGTGTCATAACTAAAACTGACTCCAGACATTGCCAAACGTCTGTTGAGGGGCAAAATAGCCCTACAATGAGAACCACTGTTCTAGCATCCAATATAACTGACTCAGTGTAATTACCTTCTACCACCAAAATATCAGTTTCACAGGACAGGGAACACGTGCGTTTTCTTCGCTAATGTGTCTCATGTACCTAGAACATATCTGGCTCATAGAGATGTCAACAAATACTTGCTGAGATGAGCATGGTGATACACACCTGAAACCCCAGTGACTCAGGAGGCTGAGTCAAGAGGATAGCAAGTTTGAGGCCAGCCTGGACAACTTAGTGAGATCCTATCTCAAAATAAAAACTATAAAGGGCTAGGGATATAGTTCAATGGTAGAGGACCCCTGGGTTCAATCCCTAGTACTGATAACAAAGAAAGGAAGAAAGGAAGAAAGAAAAGATGCTATTTCAACTTGTAATCAATATAAAAATTACTAATGGTAATTTCCATTTCTTTCACACCGAGTCTTGGGAAGCTGGTAAGCAGCTGATACCTCAGCACCTGCATGTCCATTCCGAAGAGCCACAGTGTTCTCAAGCCCTGTTTGGCTGGCGGCTCTCATCCAGGACAGCCTGTGAGTGTGAGCAATACTGGGAGATGAGGGCTCCAGGGACCTGAGAGAGCTGGTGGCTGGGTCATGTATGTGGCATACTGGAGAGTGAGGAGCAGGATGGAGATGGGAGGTGAGCCACCCCAGGCTGGGGGATGTCAGAAACGAGTGAGCAGGAACAGCTGACAAGGGAAGTCTGAACTTGAGTGTCTCGAAGAGGGAAGGAGGAGGACATATGTAGGTGGTGATGAGGGTTGAGGAAAGTGCCCTCACCACCTCCTCCAGGAGGAGGAGGAAGGTCTGCAGGGAAGTGGGGGGCACAGCCAAGACCTCAAGGAGGGTAGGACTGTTGGAGAAAGGGATGAGGACCAGGAGAGTTTGCTGAAGATGGACCATCATCTACATAGGGCACACGGCAGCTATCAGGGGCTGAGGGGCAGGAATGGGCCACAGAATGACCCAGACATGCAGAACTTGGGAAGCCCGAGTCTCCTGTGTAAACCTGACCTCTAAGGATAAAGGGCGTGACCCCTTCTTCTGGTCTCAACACAAGGGCGGGGGTGGGGGTGGGTGGGGGGTGTTGGTGAGCCAGTCAAGTGAGAAGGCAGGGATCTGGCAGGTATTAGAGCACCAAATTGATTTCCGCTGGTGGCGGCAGGGAGGCCAGGCAGGGGCCTCTTCCCACCACTCATACAGGACATGCAGGGTACACTGCACACAGGAACATCAGTACAGTCATCTTATGGGACAAAGGGGAATCCAGTCTCTAATTCGGTAACAAAAAATACTTGCATATTATTGTCATTAAAATGACTTTAAGGGCTGGGGATATAGCTTAGTTGATAGAGTGCTTGCCTCACATGCCCAAGGCCCTGGGTTCAATCCCCAGCACCAAAAATATAAAATGTTGGGAAAAAATTAACTTTTCAAAGGTGTCAACATTTGGAATACTGAAAGTGTTTTGCTCAACTCATTGCTGGGTGCCAGGGAAGGAGGCTTTTCTCCCAATTGGGTGAGGAGTAGCTTCAGTCTCAGCACAAGTCCTCTCTTTGGGCCTGTGCCCCCCAATAGTGGAAGACACTTCCTGAGTGGTCTGAAAGCTTTTTATGTCACTGTCTCACTAAAGCTCACCATGATTCCCATTTACAGATGGGGACACAGCTTATAGAGGCCAGGTAACTTGCACAGACAGACTAGAACCCAGGTTGTCTGACTCTAGCCTGGGCTCCTAACCAGATCCTAGAATTCCATACCCAGCCTCCAACCCCCATTACCAACCAGATGGTGGCACCCCAGCCCCTTCTCTGTATTCGGGGAAGACCAGCTTCCAGGATCCATGTCCTGCCTAGTCATGGAAACTCCAATTAAAAAGTAAGACCCCTCCAGGCCCTCCCTCAACCCTCTCCCACCCACTCTCTGAGCTGCCACACCTGAGCGGGCAGAGGGGTGCCCAGGGAAGCCTCCAAGGCTGCCCTCTACCACCTGCAGTAACTGTGCTCTTGAGGCCTCTGGCTGCAGGCTGGGTTTCACAAAAGGACACAGCCACATACCGGGGATTCACTTCCTGGGCTGCCTTCCTGCTCAGCCATGGCCAGGCCACTACAAGTCTTCCTGCTGGCTGGCCTTGGGACACGGCAGCTCCTAGGAGGGGTCCCTTCACACTGCATGTGCCTTTGTACACCCTCTCTTCATGACTAAACTCTCACCCTGTTGGAGTATCACCACATTTCTAAAAACAGATAGTCTTTATCTACAAGATGCCCCTCTTCCTCCATCTCCCATCCCCCATTTTACAACCCCTCCCCCCAAGGACAAACTCAGGCCGGGAGGCCAGCAGCTTACAAAGTTGCTTTTATTGGTTTCCTGCTGCCTCAGAGCATCAGGTCCATCCCTCCCAGGGATGTGGCATTTGAGGAGATAAATACTTATTTTGCCCCCCACGCTTTAGTGGGAGGAAGTTTAATAAAAATAGTAATATAATAATAATGACTATGATCAATAATAAAATGCCCCCTAGGTTCCCCTAATACACAGTTGGTTGAAGCTTCGAGAAAAAGGACCCCTCTTTCTGGGAAGGGACAAAGTATGCCTGGAGACCGCCCAGTGGCCCCCCGACAGGTGTCCGACTCCCACGAGAAGCCTTATAAATACCCTCCCCATCCCGTCCCTTCCTTGGAATTATCTTCCCCCCCTGGGCGGATTAGCTGACAGTGTCAATCTTGCTCCCAGTACCACCAAGCCCTTCCCAGAGAAGAGCCCCAGGGTCTGGTTCTCCCCCTCGGCTCCCTCTCCCCTCCTCTTCTTCTTGGTTCCTCCTTTATCTTTCCACTCTCCTCTGGATGCCCTCTCTCACCTTCCAATCCTTATTGTCTCTTCTTCCACTTCCTCTCCCCCTCTGGCCTCTCACCTTCTTCACCTACATCCTGCCTCCTCCTTTTTCTACTCTTTTCTCTGAATCAGAGCCTGTCTGTCCCACCCTGCCCTGAGCAGAGACCCTGACATGCCCCATCTTCTTCTCAGCTGGGGGCCAGTGTCTACACAAGACTCCTGACCTGCTCCCAGAGACCTTGTCCCTCTCCATCCTCCTCACCCTGACTCTTAAAAGCACCCCAGGACTTGCCACTGGAAGGAAGGGCTTTGGCACTGTCACCCCGGGGCACCAGGGCCTTTCTATTCCCAGTGGCCAGCATAGGCTGGGGATGGGAGCCAAGGGGAAAGGCAGGATGAGGGTAGGGAGTCAGGATCCTGAGCCCTGGGAACCCAGGCAAGCCTCCTGGGCACTGCCCGCCCAGGCCCTCCCTGAGTCCAATTCCCATGTGTCCGGGACCAGCCGGAGTATGGCGTTCCTCAAGCTCTTTGCTCCCTCACATCCTTCTGTCTTGGGGTTGGGGTGGGCCCTGCAGAGTGCATCAAGGGAAGCTCTCTGACTCAGCAGCTGGTGGGAGGCTCCGGGGCCGCTCTGAGACCTAGAGGGAGAAAAGAAGCAGGGAGGAAGGGGCAGGGAAGATTGTCCTCAGCAGGCCAGTGCCTCCCAGAGGCCTCCCTAGGACCCGTCACAGGGCCTTGGCAGAAGCTAGATGTGCAGTATGGCAGGGATGGGAGTGAGTGAGTCACTGGAAGAACCTGGAGAACTCCTACTCAACCCTGAGGGAACCCAAAGTCCATCATTCATTCACTCCAATCGGCACCCGGTCAACAAACTGGCTTTACTCTGGGCAGAAGAACTTTGAAACCTGACTCCTACCAGCGAGGAGCCCACAGTCCACTAAAGAGCCTAGGTACCCAGAAGCAAACCAGAGCGAGGCAGGATACACAAGGAAAGGGGTGATGGGGTGGCAGTGACCACCTAACCAAGTGGCCAGGAAAACTTCCTCTCCCCTCCAGGATCAGTGGGCAGCCTGGGTGGCCTGGGTGTTAATCAGGTTGACGACAGAGAAGGACATTCAAAGGAGGAGGGACTGTAGGGGCAAGAGCTTGAAAGTACAGAAGAACAAGGCAAGTCTGGGGTTCTGAGTGGCCCTGTATGACGAGAGAAAGAGAGAGAGAGAGAGAGAGAGAGAGAGAGTGTGTGTGTGTGTTGGGAGACAGATGGAGAGGTGTCTGGAAGGTGAAAGAAACTGTCTTCCCTGCTTCTACACATTAAATTGCTCCTTCCTGACCTCTCTCCCAAACTAAAGGCTGGGTCTGAAGAATCCCAGGGGCTGGCGCTGGAGTTCAGTGGTATTATACTTGCCTAGCTCTGCATTCTGTCCCCAGCCCCAGATTGCCACCACGGACAAAAAAAAAAAAAAAAGAGAGAGAGAGAGAGAGACCCGAGGACTCCCCCGGGGCACTTCCAATTCCAGGTAACATCACCTCATACCGATCTCACAGTATTACCTCATTTTATAGGTGAGGCAAGCCTAGGGAGATTGGGCTCCACTGGGGCACGCAGCTAGAACAGTCAGAGCGGCCTAGGCCCACCTGCCTCCAGGGGCCGAGGCAGATAAGATTCTGCCTGTCTTAGGGTTGAGGGCAGGGAAGGGCTCAGCTTGTCCTCTGGCCTCACAACATGGGCGCAGGGCTCAGAGGAAAACAAAATGCTTGACCTCTGGATAGGAGAGGGAAAAGCCCTCCCACTGGCTCACCTGTATCTGGGATGCTGCAGGACTCAGGGATCCCTGGGGGCAAGACACTGATTCGCTGGACAGAGAAGTCCAAGGTTTCCTCTTCACTGCTCCAGGAGCAGGATTGGGAAGAGAACAAAAGTGCCTAGGTCAGATTTGCGGGGTCCGAAGGGTTGGAGACTTGGGTGTGGACTACGGGAAGCTGCGGGGCTGCCCTTACTGGGGTCTGTGTCTCCAGGGAGGCAGTCACTGCCCATGGACGCAGGGCGCCGCGACGCCTCGGAGAAGCTGTGGGGCCGCTGCGGGCCGGAGCTGCGGGCACCTCGGCCCTTCTCTTCCGGAGCCTGTTAAGGGACAGTGCAGATGGCTGGCAGCGGGAAGCACAACAGACGGGATGAACACACGGCTCCAGGCCAGGTATCAGAGGGATGAGTCACTGGCCTCAGCAGTCAGGTAATCAGAGGCCTGTGATTGGCTCGCGCTCACCCGAGAGCCCGGTGATTGGCTTGGCCCCACTAGGGAGGCTTGTGATTGGCTCCGGAGGACTTACTCGGGGCAGGTCCCGGGCGCTGTGCCTCCCGTCAGTAGGGCCCACGTGCACCAGGTGGTTGAAGTTGGTGGGCGGTGAGATAAGCTTGGAGCGCACAAAAGGGTCCTTCAGCATCTCCCTACGGGCAGAGGGGGCGTAAGGCGCAGGGCTGCCAAGCTGGTGCTCGCTCCGCCCCCAATGGTGGAAGGCTCCACCCAGCAGCGGCCCCGCATCGCGCATGCGCACCTGCGCTGCTGCTGCCGCTGCTCCGGCGAAACACGGAAGAAGAAGCGGCGCTTACTCTTTGTGCGGAACAGCTGGCGCCGGCTGTTGTCGGTGAGGTCGGGGATGTCGAACTCGTCCTTCTCTGAGAGAGAAGCAGAGAGCTGGGGGTGGGCGTGTTCACAAGCCTGCAGGGCTCCGGTCAGCTGCACTTGGGGTCACCCCCCCCCCACGTGTTCACCTGTGGACCCCCACGCTCCCTCACCTGCCAGCCGGTTCCTGAGGTAGGTCAGGCGGATCTTCTCGGTGCCATACAGGAAGAGGGAGCCCTCTGGGTTCAGGGGCCGCACCTGAGGCAGTAGGTGCCAGGGTCAGGCCGTGCCCCCAGCCCCACCACGTGCAGCCCCAGGGGTCTGGGCAGGCCTTCACCTTCTTGAGCGGCACCGTCTGGACCCATTCTGCTCTCCTCACGTCAAACACGTCAATGGCGTTCTCACTGAACACTGTCAGGTAAGGGGCTGTGTAACCTGCAGGAGGGAAACTGCCTGTACTGTGCAGCCCCAGGCAAGCCAGGAACCTCTCTGAGCTGGATCCCGCCTCCATTCCAGGGGAAGACCCCTGTGCCCTGTCACAGCACTGGGACTTCCAAGCCCCACGGCAAAGGTCCTTCCCTGAAGACGCAGGCTGCCCCGCCCTCTCCCTAAGGAGTGAGGTAACCAGGGAGCTCTCCCTACACGCCCCCAGCCCCCACGGCGCCCTTAAGTCTCCCAACAACTCCCAGCAGGTACCACATCACCCCCAACCTACAGAGGGACTGGAAACCCCAGAGGCATGTAATGGCCAAGGTCACCGGGCTGAAGAGGAGAGCTGGGATTTGGCCCCAGGCAGTTTGGGCCTAACACCTACAATGCTGAATACCTGTGCTACACCCAACCTAGGTCCCACCCCAGAAGGGCCTTTGCTCGTGATGGAAGCTCTGTCCCTCTAATCTAGCCCTTATCCTGTCACTCCATGGATGCCCCAGACCACCTCAGTGCACGTTGCTCCTGACATCCATAGCCCCTAGGGTGTGCTTGCCTGGGCTGGGTGCTGGATGTGGAGGAAGAAACCAGTCCCAACCTATTCTGCAGGCTCCCAGTGCACCAAACCAGTTGTGAAGTAGGAGAAAGGAGCCCAGAAAAGAGGTGGGGGAGCAAAGAGAAGCCAAGGACAGTGACAGGAGAGGGCACGACAAGGAGCCAGAAGGCAATAATGATGATGACAGCAGTCATGGAGTGCCTGTTAGCTCCAGGTCCTGAGGTGCCATTAGGGCTTAAGAGCTGACCAGGAGCTGGGTGCAGTGGTGCATGCCTATAATCCCAGCAAATTGGAGGTTGAGGCAGGAGGATATAGAGTTCAAAACCAGCCTCAGCAACGGCGAGTTGCTAAGCAGCTCAGTGAGACCGTGTCTCTAAATAAAATACAAAATAGGGCTGGGATGTGGCTCAGTGGTTAAGGGGCCCTGAGTTCAATCCTCAGTACCAAACAAACAAAACAGTTGGCCATGGCTGGGCACTGTGGCTCACACCCCTAATCCTAGTATTTTGGGAGTTTGAGGCAGGAGGATCAAGAGTTCAAAGCCAGCTTCAGCAACAGGAAGGCACTAAGCAGCTCAGTGAAACCCTGTCTCTAAATAAAATACAAAAAAGGACTGGAGATGTAGCCCAGTGGTTGAGTGCCCTTGAGTTCAATCCCTGGTACTCCCTCCCTCCCCCGCCAAAAAAAGAGTTAGCCAGGTACAAGTGGAAGGAGGGCAGCACAGCACAGGGAGGGGAAAAGGAGAAACAAAGGAACAGAAGAGGAAAATCCCAGGTACAACACCCAGGCAGAACAGGACATGGCAGGCTCTGGCTGCAGTGCCAAGCTCAGGAGGTTGGGCAGAACCCTGTCTTCCTCAATACAGTGCAGTGCCCAGCCCCATCCAGCCAGGCCCTCCACTGGCCTTACCCCAGCCTGTGGGTGCTGCTGGCCACAGTAACTCGTGACTGCGTGACTTGCGGCCAGTGCCATCCACGTAGACTCCAGCAGTGGTGAAGAGCAGCAAGAGCTCATTAAGGCTGAGCTCCACAGCACCCAGGGCCTCACCTAGGCCTCCACGGGATGGTGGCAGCTCCTCTGGCACCAAGCCGGCCCCCAGCACCAAGGGTGCAGCCTCGTTGAGCAGTGGGTAGAGGGCGAAGGTGCCAGCAGCACCCACACACAGCCGATCACCCAGTAGCCCCAGGCTCTGTACAGATGCAGGTGCCTGAAGCTCCCGGATGCGATGCTGCCAGGGCCCTGGTCCCGGGCCCAGCTGGTAGCAGAGCACCTGGCGCTTGATAGCTACACAGAGTACGGGAGTGCGGGCCTGCAGGATGCGCCCGGCTGTCAGCACCTGGCAGCCTCGGGACTCGGGGATCTTGGCACCTGTTGCATCAGTGCTTTCCAGCTCCGCGAGGGCAAAGAGACGCACGCTAGGGCCACGGCCGCACAGCACAACCAGCAGGCCTGCAGAGGGGCTGACAGCCAGCTGCTGCACCCGGCGGCACTCCCCCACCTGGAAGATGTCTGGGGAGTGGGGAAAAAAGCAGGTGGGTGAGAAGCAACCCAGTCCCCATCTTCCTCCATACCCTGGGACTGGCTCCATCCACCAACCCTGGCCCAACCCTTCATGTACCATTGCTATGCAGATGGATCACATAGAGCCCCTCCTCTGTGCCCAAGGCAAGCCGCTCCTGGTCTGGGAGGGAAAGAGGGTCAAGGGTCAAAGGGCCAAACCAGATTGGGGAGTCAGGGCATTCGCTTGCCTTGCTGAGTCTCAGTTTCTTGAGGTGATGGGGGCGAGGATCCTGTTCACTGTCCTATCAGTGGGCAGGTCACTCCCACAGTCTGGGCTGACTTAAAGGGGAAGGGCCTCCATGGCAGGGGTCAGGGTGAGAGCCCCACCATCTTGAACTGTGGGATTCTAGGTACATCATGTCACCTTTTGGAACCTCCTTTTCCCCTTACATAAACTGAAGACCTGTAAACAGGTGCTGTGCAGAGGAGATGAAGTAGTGCGGGACAAGCACCAAGCACAACCTCTTGCCAAGGAACAACCTCAACCTCTGGCTCCAATGTGACCCAGGAGACCCACAGTCTCTCCTGTGGCTTCTACCCTAGGTAACTTGCATGGCTCCAGCTGGCTCAGGACCTCGGCTGCTGGGGAAGCCAAAGATCTCTGCTTCACTCCTGCTGAGGCCAGGCTCCCAGCTGAACCCAAGTGAATCTGCGGCAGCTCCACACTGGAGACATTGCGAGGCTTCAGGTGGTTCTGTGGCTCTTCCATGGTATGGTCACCCATCAGCTGGCAGGACAACCAGGACTGGGACCCTCGTTTATCTTTTTTTCCCCCAGTAGTGGGGATGGAAGCCAGTGGTGCTGTCCTACTGAGCTACATCCCAGTCATTTTTATTTTAAGACACAATCTTGCTAAGTTGCCCAGGCTGGCTTTGAACTTGTGATTTTTTTTTTTTTTGCAGGGGGTGGGGGGGATACTGTACTGGGTATTGAACCCAGGAGTATTTTACTACTGAGCTATATGACCAGCCTTTAAAATTTTTTTTTTAAATATAGTCTTGCTAAGTTCCTGAGGATCTTGCTAAATTGCTGAGATTGGCCTTGAATTCGAGATCCTCCTGAGTCACTGTGATTACAGGAGTGCACCACCATTCCTGGCTCATTTGTCAATTTCTAAAGCCTTTGCTCCTCCAATCACTTGAGATTTCTTTTAGTAAAAGCTGAAACTGAGGCACAGAGAAATGGAGTGGCAGGAAGCCAGGGCCCCTGGCTCTTCACATATCTGTGCCCACAGGCGGATTGAGAGTGTGTGTGTGTGCAGGATGGAGTCTGCAGCTCTTGGAAAGGGCACTGACAGTGGCCTTAATGACGATCTGGGCCAGCTCCTCCCTGCAGGCCTGGACTCTCTCCCCAACCTGCTTAGAGTTCCCTCAGCAAGAGGCTCACCGATGACAGCGGCGCAGAATGTGTGGGGCAGGAGTGGCAGCCCGTTGTCGTAGGCCTCCTTGAGTGTGTACACAGGCCGGGGCCTTGGCCGTGTGTCCAGCAGCAGGCGCTGCAGCTCACCCAGCACCTGCAGCCAGCGCTCCCGCTCTCCCTCACTCTCAGCCAGTAGCAGCACGGTGCAGGTGGTCGGTGGCACTGTTAGCTGGGAGGCCGTCACCTGTGGGTGGGAACCCAGGCCACAGGGCTGCAGGACGAGACACATCCTGCCCTCCTCCCTGCACTCCTTCACCAGCCGAGGACTGTGCGCTTGCTGGGTGCAGTGCTAAGCACAGGACAGCAGAGGATAAGCCAGACAGTAGGGTCAGGCAGGCACTCAGCTGGCCCCAGGGCCACAGCGGGAAGGACAGGCATTGTGCAAATGCAAAGTAGGGCCCTACCCAGGCCCAGGGGACAAGCAGCTAACCAGGAGTTGGTCAACATGGTGAGCTCAGACCTGGGGCTGGCAAGTCCGCACAGGGCAAGAGAATATGAAGAACCAAAGAGGGGGCATGCATGAGCACACGGCACTTTGGGAACTGGAGAAGGTACCGTGTGGCTGGAGCAGACAGAGGTGACAGGATAGAGGGTTGGGGAGGTCTGTGGGGTCAGATCCATGGGGACAAAGGCCCCAGCCTCAGAGCCCCCTGAGGGTAATGGGAAGCTATACAAGGGCCCTAAGCAAGGCAGCCCAGGAGCCTGTGTAGCCATTCACAAGGAGACAAACTGGACTGACCAAGGGAGCAGCAATGGCCAGAGTGGGGACGGCAAGGTGGACAGTGGTTGAATCCACCCTGCCCTAAGTACTCACCCTAAAGATGCGTGGCAGGTCCCTGGATTGGGCATGGATAACATCTGGGGCCAGGACTGGAGTGGCTGAGAACTGGGGATCCCTGGGAGGGGCATGGAGCAGGTCAGAGATTGCACTGTCCCTGGCTGCCCACCTCACCCAGTAGTCACTTAGCCCTGTCCCACTGCCCGGCACCTACCTTAGGTCCAAGGTCTGCAGGAGGGCCCCACTGGCAGGGCTGACCCTCGGATCAGGTGCATCAAACAGCAGTAGGCGTGAGTCACTGAGGGCAGCATATACCCGCTGCCAGCCCCGCCGGACGCCCGAGGGCCGTGGCACCTTTGGGAAGTAAGCATGGGAGGGCTGCGCGTGTCCTCAGCCCCTGTGCCCATCTTCCCTCTCCCCCAAGCCCCAGCTCACCGACAGGAATCCCTCATAGGCAGTGCCCGTGCCTGTCTCAGGGTGCACTCCCAGGGCTGTGCGGAGGAGTTCAGGGGGCACAGGGCAGGGTGGGGCCTGGGGGGCGCAGGTTGAATGACAGAAGTAGCCACAGGCTGCAGGGGAAGCAGAGGAATAGGATGGTGTGAGGCTGGGTGGTGACAGCCCAGACCCAAGATTTGGGCCTTCCTAGCCCCCGTTCCCTTGAGGCCACAGTGGCACCTCAACTACCACCAACTGCCCATCGAATGAGAAAAGAAAAACTTGAGTGGTGGGAAATTTGACCAGGAAGCACCAATGACCCTTGTTGGAGACAAAGAGCCTGGGGGCATCAGGGCCATACCCCTGGGGCCTAGCCGGGGAAATGGGGGAGTATGGAGTATGGGGTTCTCACCATCACAGGCCAGGCCCTGGCGGCCCAGGCCCAGCATCAGTGAGGTGCAGCGGAGACACTTGGTAGGGGACAAGAAGTTCCGGAGACGCAGTGCATGTGAGCCAGGCTGCAGAGGAGGGACACGCCATCACCCATGCCTGCCACACCCAGGGCTGGCTCTATAACCATCTGAGGCGTCAGGCAGGCAGACAAGGATTAACAGTGTCACAGTGCCCACTCTGAGGCCCAGTGAGACTATGGCAGTGCATTTGGCTACTGCCGCCACCACAAGCACGGTCTGCCTGTGGTGATGTCTGTGAAGAGTCCCAACATGGTGCATGGAGAGTGGCAGAATGGATTGGAGTCCCCATCCCACTTTGCCCCTCAAAGCACTGACCTTGGCAGGAGGAACTTCTGCAGGGGCAGTGGTGGCAGCAGGAGCTCTGGGGAACACAGCCTGCAGGAGGGACCTGAGTAGGTGAGACAGGCACGGGGCAGGGACATGGCCCAGCCCCCACTTATGGAATCCCCCATCCTCACCCCCATGCGCAGGCTGCGGCGGCCCTCGGGCCTCAGCTCTGGCTCCGCCCCAGTCCTTGGGGCCTCTCCTGAGATGCCAGTGTCCTTGGCTGAGTCCTTCTGGGGATGGGAGAGGGAGGGACAATAGTCAAGGCCTCTGCCTCTCCCTAGGACTCCTGCTCAGCCAGTCCCTCTATCTGGCTCTCACCTCTGCGTTCCAGAAGGACAGGAAGGGGATGAGGGAGTTTGAGGGCTTGGTATCTGCAAACAGAGAGCATGAGTCACTGGAGGTGGGGTTCCTGGCCGGAGGAAACAGAGGCAGCAATGGGGGATCTCAACTCCCAGCCTTGCCTCGTCAGCGGGGAAATGACCACAGGCCAGGAGGGAGGGTAGATGGCACACAGCAGGTGCTCAGTAAGTACTGGGTTACACATGCTTGGCTTAGTTGCTGAGTGTGGGCAGACTTTTCTCTCCACAGCCCAGCCAGGCTGTCATGGGAGCCTCCTAGTGACCATGAGGTCAGGGTAGGGGACTGGCTACCAAGCAGGTGTGCTGTGGCCACTCACCACCTGGCCCGCGGGCCCGCAGCTCCTCCCGCAGGGCAGCCAGCTCCTGCTGCAGGGCTCCACTCTGCTTCTCAGCCTCCTGCAGGCGTCTGGGAGGAAGCGGGAAAAGGCTTACCCCAGGCCTCCACGTGGGGCCCCGGCCCCCAACCCTGCCTGCCATTGGCCTCACCTCTCAGACTGCAGCTGGGCCTCCTGCACCTGCGTCAGCTGCTCCTGCAGATTCTGCTTGGCACGGATCTCAGCCTCCAGCGCTGACTGCAGCTCCAGCCGGGCAGAGGCCTCCATCTTCTGTAGCCGGCGCGCCTTCCACTGGTGGTCCTGGTGGCCACAGGGCAGCCTATAAGATGCCCTCTGGGCTTGGCTGCCTTAGAACTCCCTCTCACCAGACCACATGCTGCCTGTGCCACCTAGTCAGGTCCAAAGCCCTGGTTCTGCCACTCGCACCCCCACAGTGCAAATCTGGGGCTCACCAGAGGCCGGGTAGGGAGCGTCTGGGTGCCCACATTCCGCAAGGATTCCAGCTCTTCCGCCATCTTGGTGGCCAGGGCCTGCAGGTAGCCTCTAGAGACCTTCTCATCATTCACCCTGATTGGGAAGGGCTCAAGGTCATGGCCTGGGCCCTCAGCCCACCTGGGACACCCCCCCCCCGCCTTGGTACCCACCAGCTGAGGATGTCTGCAATTTGGGCCTCCCAGTTGCTCTCGGTCTCCCGCCGCTCTCCCTCCAGCCGCTGCTTGCTCTGCAGCTCCTGTTCCAGCTCTTCTGCCAGCTGGTGCCAGGTGCAAGACGGCCTCAGTCCTCAGGAGGCCTAGCAGCCCTGGCTCTCTGCCAGCTCCCTAGCCCCCGCCAGTCTCCTGACAGCTGTCCCCACCACCCTGAAGCCCATCTTCGTCCACCCTTCTCACTTGCTGCAGCGTGCCCACCCGCCGCGTCGCTGGCAGCTCTGCCCACCTACCCCACCGGCACTCGCCCTGTCCTGCCTGTCAGCCGCCCAGTCCTCTCTGTCCACCCTGCTCACCCGCTCCTGCTCCCGGCTCAGTCGCTGGTTCTCCTCCTGCAGCCGGCACAGGGCCTCGTCCTTCTCTCCAGGCCTGGCGAGGAAAAGGCAGAGGTGGTGGTGACACCCAGCGAGGCTCGGGCCAGCCCTTCCCACCGTCCCTGCTGCCTGCTCACCCACGGCTGCGGGCCTGTCTCAGCTGTTCCTGCAAGGCTGCCACCTCCTTCCTCAGCTGGGCCTCCTGGGGTCCGCCTTCAGGCAGGCCTGTGCCGTTGGTCTCAGAGGCTGTGTGGACCGTCTTGAGGATGCGGAGGAGGGGTCAGGCAAGGCGGGCCCAAGCGGCCAAGGCCCACTCCACCACGGGACAGGGGCTTGGTCAGGGACCCTGGTGGGAGTGCCTCTGGCCAGGGGCTGAAGCCTCACTACCTTGGCTGGGGAAGACGACTTCTCAAGACTTCGCTCCCATTGTCCCTGGAGCTGTGCCACCTCCTGGCGCAGGGTAGCCACCTGGCCTTCCAGCTGTGAGGGGGTGCAGTCAGGCCAATGCTGGCCTTGCCACCCAAATCGCTCTACCCCAACTTGACGGATTCCCAGGCACTGCCAGGCACAGTGGGCTCGAGGAGGAAGTGGGTTCCCAGACACCCTTCCCCACCATGGTGCCCTGGCTCAGCTTCCACCAGCCACGTGTGGGACACAGTGGCATATGGTATTCCCAGCTCCTTGAACCAGGCTCTGCAGGCTTCCTCCTGAACACAGGCACAGGGCCCATTGCTGTTCCCTCCCGCTCCCGTCACCCACCTCCCTTTGGGCATCCCAGGCTTCCTCTAGTTGGGAGCTCAAGGCTTGGATCCGGCTGGCTGAGGCCGCCTCTCTCTCCTGGGCCTCCTGCAGCTGCTGCAGCAACTCCTCCTGCCGGCCCTGGACTCTGCGCAGCTCCTGACCCTGCACCTGCAGCCCTGCCTGAGCCTCGGCCAGCTCCTAGGGAGCCAGGGGTGGGGAGCACGAAGTCAAGTCAGGGCACAGACCTCTGTAGTATGAGCCCAAGCCACTCACCCCCCTGACTCGGCTCTCACCTGCTGGAGCCGATCTTTCTCCTGCCACAGGTCACCGTCTTGGCTTAGGCTACCAGCAGGAGCCCCATCCATCTGGGACAAGTGGGCCTTGCTGTCTCTTAGCATCTCTGCAGGAACAGTCACTGACACCCGCATGTACTGACCTCCCCAGCCTCAGGGTACTCCACCACAGGATCTCACGGAACCTTCCCCGCAGCCCAGGGGGTGGGTCTCCCAGGCATATTTTCCACACAGAGGCTAAGAGCCTCTCCTCCAAGACCATATGGCATGGGCAGAGCAGGTGCAGGATGGGGATACAGGGAGGACACGGCCTGTGCTGGGAAGGGGGAGTGATACCTGCCAGCCTCCCCTGCAGAGTTTGCACTTCTGTCCGCAGCCGCGCCAGCTCCTGGTGGTCTGAGCAGCCGTGCAGGGCCTCTGGCAGGGAGGGCCCACAGTGAGCAGCTCGTCCTGCAGCAGCAGCCCCCAGGGCTGGAACCCTCAGCCTGACCCAGCTGCCCCTTACCTTGGTGCTTCCAGCCCAGCTCCACCTTATCCTGCTCCAAATGGCAGAACTTCTCCAGGGCAGCCCCAGGTTCAGATCTGCTCTCAGAAGCGGAACTAGAGGAGGACAGGGCAACTCGAGTTACCGGAAACTTCACCCCCAAAGCCTCCTCCATCCTCCTGCTTCCATTCATCCTAGAAATACCCACTGAATGCCAGCTCCACTCCCAGGACTGGGCTCTGTGCCAACAAGAGAGAGAGAGATCAACCCAGGCCTTCAGGAGACCCTGGGCCATCCTGGCCCTCACAAGCAGGGTGACCTGGACAGTCATTTAACATCTGAGCCTCAGTTTTCACACAGCAAAATGGAGGCCCAGGTAAGATGGGCCCACTGGCCCCGCACCCAGCACACAGTGGGTCTTCAGCATGTACTGCTCAAAGCACTCCTCCCATCTCACGGCACTTTACACTGGGCCCTCGCTTTAGTCTTGGGCCAGCCCCAGAAATGGACATCCTCCCATCCATTTTACAGAGGTACAAATTGATGCTCAGGAGAAGCAGGAGCCCTCCAAACTGCAAGTCTCTCCTCTGAGTCCGATGTATTCCAAGCCTGCCATGTAGGGCATCATGAAGGCCACATGCTAGCATGTGGCTGCAGGATATGGGCATGGCTTTGCCTGGACCCTAAGGATGTGAGGCTCACTGCCACATGCTGGTTCTGGGAAGTCATTTCAGCCCTTTCTCAGGCTCTTGATGAACAATGCCCCCAGCTTCCCAGCAGGTGTGTGACGACTAGACTCACCAGCTGGAGGTATAGGTGAAGCCCACGAATGGCAGGTGGTGGCCTGAGAAGGCCCCATGGGAGGGTGGTGGCAGGGTACCCTGCAAGAGAGGGAAGGAGAGTCAGAACCAGAAGGCACAACTCCAGGCTGACGCTCAAGAACCAGGAGACCCCCAGAAACGGGCATGTCAACCTCTTCCTGCTCAGACACGAACCCAGGGGGACAAAACCAATCACAACTCCCATAAGTCCTCGAGGCTGTGGTGTTCAGGGGCTGCTGGGTGTTCTCTTCTGGTTAACAGGAAGACCTGGCTTTCATGTGGTACATCCACCTCAGTGCAGGAGAGCCAACCAGGTGAACCCTAACTCTCGTGAGCCCCCAAAGGCCTCACCCAGGCCAGCGACTGTTTAGGGAACCTCTGGGGAGTCTCACAGGCCTCATAGGGCAGGGCAGCCCCCTCCTGCAGTGGCATATGCCACTCACTGGATGGTTGAGAGTGTCGTCATCCACATCAAAGTTGGAGGTGTCCATAGGCCCTCGAAGCTCAGGGATATAGGGGGCAGTGCTATTCGCCAGGCGCTCCCAGTCCACGCCTTGGAAGAAGGGGTGGTTCCGGAAGTCATCCAGCCCGCCACAACCCAGCCGCTCCTCCTGGCGGCACAGCAGCCGGCGGATCAGGTCTTGGGCACTGGCTGGCACATCAGGCATATCTGAGGGGAACTGCAGGTGGTCCTGTGGGCCAGAGCAGGGGCCAGGCAGGTCAGGCCAGGGGCCCACCTTGGCCTGCAGCTGTTCCACTGTCTCCCCAGAATCCCAGGGTCCAGTGGCCAGACCTCATGGTTCATGATCTTGCCATAGGTTTCCACCAGGGATTCAGCATAGAAAGGTGTTTCCCCGAAGAGCAGCTCGTAGGCGCAGACTCCCAGGGACCACCAGTCGCACTGTGGGCCGTAGTGGCCCTTGCCCTCCTCCATGGCCTGTAGGATCTCAGGGGAGATGTAGTCTGGTGTCCCTACTGCCACCGATGAATCCACCTGTGGGTGTTGGTGTCAGATGCTATGAGGATACTTCCAGGCTTGGCTGGGCCTGCTAGGCCCTCACCCGGGCCTGGGGCCACACTCCTCAGAGGCGGGCTGCCCTAGTGCCCCCTGTTCCCCTGAGAATTGGACCCCTCCAGTTCCCACTCTGGGCGTGGTCCTTACCATACCACTGTTGTTGAGACGCAGGCAAGAGCCGAAGTCAGCCAGGCGGATGTGCCCGTTCATGTCCAGAAGGACATTGTCTGGCTTGACATCCCTGGAGGGGGGCAGGGAGAGTGAGGGATGGCTCCATGTGGATGCCCATTTAAGGCATGTGTCCAGGTGCCACCTGCTCTACCCACGTGTGTTCCTGAGGGCACTCATGGGCCTAGTGTGTGCGTGCATGCAAGAAGAGAGAAGGCTGGTGGCCAGGAGGAAGATGGTGGCTACCTTGGGGAAAAGTCCCACAAGAATGGCCCTGGGACAAGCTGCAGGGGATGCAGGGCTACCTGCAGACCTGACCACCCTCGCAGCTCTACCACCCGCTAGCTGGGTCATCTTGAACTGGGGGCTTGCCTGTGCTTAGCTATGGCTTCTTTCACTGTGAAAGGGACACACTGCATCCCCACCTCAGAGGGCTTTTTGGAAGGAGGAGTCAAGAGAAACTTACAAAGTACCCTGCACAGTGCTGGGTACATGGCAATGCCATACCCCAGCAGTCACCAGGGGCTGGCCGGGCAGCGGGGGCCTTGAGGGCCTTACCTGTGGACGTAGCCCAGCTGGTGCAGCGAGTGGATGGCCAGCACCATCTCTGCCAGGTAGAACTGAGCAAGCTCAGGGGGAAGGCGGTCCTCAAAGCGGCTCAGCAACGTGAGGAGGTCCCCGCCAGCGTAGTAGTCCATCACCAGGTACTGCCCAAAGTGCAGGGAGAATCAGAATAGGAGGAGCGCCCCCCTGGGGCACTGGGAAGGCAGGGCCTGGCCTCCAGAGAGCTCAGGGGTGGCCAGCTCCCAGCCAGACTCAGCAGGAGGCTCCAGGCCCAGGAACTGGTGAGAAGAGGCTGCCTCCTGGTCTGAGTGGGACCCAGTGCCCTGGCCCCCAAGGGGCTTCTCCTTGTCCCCAGGCAAGATCTGCCCCCACTCCCAAGTGTCCTACCAGGTACTCCTCATCCTGGAAGGCATAGTGCAGAGCAGTCACCCAGCGGCTGTCCCCCTTCACCAGAACATCCCGCTCCTCCCGGAAACAGGCGGTCTGTAACAGGTTTCGGGGAGCAGAGAGCAGTTAGGATCAGAGCCTAGGAAAGACCCTCATCAGTTCAGGGGATGGTGAAGGACTCATAAGCCTCGGGGCTGAGATTGAGGGTACAGCTCTGCTCTGCCCCAGGCTGACCTTGGATGAGCCAAACCCATGCTTTAAGGCTCTGGGCCTCTGTTACCTACAGAAAGTGGGAACAACTCTGCCCACTCTTCAGAAAGGTTTACTGTGCCAGGCTAGGTAGCCCACGCCTACTATCCCAACAACTCAGGAGGCTGAGGCAGGAGGATCGCAAGTACAAGGCCAGCCTCAGCAACTTGGCAAGGCCCTGAGCAACTTGGTGAGACCCTGTCTCAAAATAAAAAGGGCTGGGGATGTGACTCAGGCTTATTGTGAGGAAGGGACATGAGATGGGTGGCTGTCGAGGATGGAATCCTTTGCCTGCTCGGCAGCGAGGTCCTGCCCTGCCCCTTCCCCCGAGTGCCTCGCGGGTCTTGCTGGCAGCACACGCTTCCTCTGCCCATCTGTAGGTTTCCCGAGACCAGCGCCCACACTGACCTCGGCCCTCTTCAGCATCTCCCATTTGTGCAGCATTTTCATGGCAAAAATCTGCCCACTGTCCCTCTGCCTCACCACAGCAACCTGAGGACACAGGGAGAAGTGGGGTCAGCCAGGTCAGGTGCAAATCCCCTGTCCCCTCCCACCCCAGGCCCTTTGCTCACCTCCCCAAAGGCCCCTCGGCCGATCACCTTTAGGATCTCAAAGTCATCTCGCTGTAGACGGAGTTCTTTCACCTTGGTTACAAAGGGACTGGCTGAGGGGACAGAGCAGGTAGCTCAGTGAGCTGTGAGAGGGCCAGCTTCCTCTCTCACCTTGGGAAAGCTGGGAGGTGCCACTCCCATGAGGCCAGGGCAGGGAGGACCTTCCCAGGGACAGCCAAGGGGCTGATAAGACCTGGAGCCCCTTCAGCATTGGCCAGGAAGCTGCAGGGGAAGGTCCTGGCTCAGCAGACTCCACCTGGCCCCCACCTCCCTGACTCCAGGCAGCCTCCATCCCTGACAGGACATGTAATCCTCCCAGCCTGGGGCCTAACCCTGGTCGGCCAGGTCACCCTGGGGAGGATGAGGACACCGTTCCAACCCCCGGCTCACAGTTCTTGGCCCCTAACAGGGTCAGCCAGGGGCCTGTATTGGGAAACTGGACAAGTGACATTCCTTGTCCCCAGAGAGGCTTCTCTACCATTCAGGAACTGTGAGCCTGGGTCTAGGGTCCCTGTAGGTGCAGAAGTACTTGGCTGAGGTGAGGTGGGGCAGCCTGGAGGGCAGGGAGGGTTCTGCGAGGTTATGGGAGGACAGTCTGTGTTCCCCAAGTGGGGCTCCCTGGTCTGGAGGCATAAATACCAGTCGTCTCAGGTGCTCACAAGACTCAAAAACAGGTCCACAAACCCCTTTCTGGCACCTGAGGGTCCCCTCCAGGCTGACCAGCCCTGCTGAGCTCGCACTCAGGGTCCCCTCCAGACTGACCAGCCCTGCTGCTCTGAGTCCCCTCTCTCTCTCTCTGGATGGGGCTTGTGGCTGGCCAAGAGCCTCCCCCTGTGTCAGTCTCTGGTAACTCCAAGAGGGACATCTCCAGTCACTCCCAGGCCCTCTCCAGGCCACAGGCCCGGGGCCAGGGGGATTGGGTCTTTGGAACAGAGGGAGGGAAGCAGGAGCAACCAGTCAGGATTGGGGGCAGCTGCGGTCTGGCGCCCTGCCTCAGTTTCCCCCTGCCAGGAGGTGAGCTCCCTGCCAGCTGGGCGGGCCTGTGGGTGGGACGGAGAGCTGCTCCACAGGTTTATCAGGCAGAACCCCCGCAGTGGGGGTGGTGTGGAAACCTCATTACAGAAATTAATTGTCTCTTTCCCAGGTCTGTGCATAGAGCTAGGGAGGAGCCACCACAGGCCTCCAAGGGGGAACGGAGGCCAGGGCAGTTCCCCGCCAGCCAGATGGGCCAAGGCTTGGGGTCCAGAACCAGGAGGACCCACGCCCCCAGGACAGGAGGCTCAGTGCCCCAGCCTTGCCACAGGGGATGGGGGCTCTGGGCAGGAGCAGGAGCAAGTTAGGGCAGGAGAGGAGTGAGTCACGCCCTTGGAGTTACCTCGGGAGATGTCAACAGACAGGCCCCCACGCTAGGGTCCTAGGCAGAGATGCCAGGCGCAGGTTAGGGAGGAGCACACGCATGTGTGCAAACACACACACGTGGGTGTGGGCATTATGGGGGAGGGGTGCGTGATGACAACACAGTCAGAAACACTAGCATAATATGTGCGAGTCCTGGGTAGACCAGCAGGCAACAGGGGCAGGGCCCCGACTGCCCCCACCCCAGATGCAAGGAGCAAGCCTAGGTGGCAGGCCTCCGACAGTACCAGGTGGAACCTTGTGCCTGTCCACAGCTCAGGAGCGCCAGGAACGCTAGTCACCCACTGGGCAAACACCCCACCTCACCCCACCCTCCAGGCTGGGTCCCCATGTCCTGGCCAGGTGTGACCAGGGAACCCTCGGGCTGGCGCCAGTGCCCACGCTGGGTTCAGGGTCACCCCCTTGCCAGCCACTCCCAGTGATTCAGATGAGTCAACCAGGAAAGGGCGCAGACCCACCTCCAGCCAGGTCCCCCTCTCTAGCCCTCAGGAACCGGCCCTCAGGAAGTACATTGCACATAGGGGGAGTCCAGGCTGGGTGGACTGTGTGCAGGGTGTGGGGTGTCTGCCAATATGAGCACCTACAGGTCTGTGAATGTGTAGGACAGTCAGAGGGATCCAGGTGTTCCACAGCACAGCAGGCAGGGCTCCCTGGGTCCCTTCATGAGCAGCATGTGTCTCAATGTGCGGGTGAGGAATGAGGGAGACTGAGAAAGCCTGTGTGTCTGTGTGACACGCAGAGAGGTCCTGGCTGGGGCAGGAATCTTATACATAAGGTTGAGGAGAGTGTGTATTAGGTACATACGTCTGCGGTCTACACCTGGGGACAAGTTTGTGTGTGACTGTGTTAAGTACGTGTTGTGTATTTCCTGGGGTCTGGGAGTGAGAACCAGCGTGTGTGAGTGACGTTGAGATGTGCAGGTGAATCAGTTGGTCAGCCCTGGGGTCCGGGGACACGTGTTAGAGCCAAGTGCGGGGATGGGGAGAGTCTTCAAGAGGAGTCTCTAGGGTGTGCATTACTGCGGGAAGGCATGAGGAGGTGGACTACGCGGGGGTCCCAGCGCGGTGTCCCTAGGGCAGCTCGTCCACCCTCCACCCCGTGCCGCCCAGGCTACTCACCCCAGCTCAGGAACTGCGCCACATTGCGCTCCCGACGCAGGGGGGCGCTGCTGAGCTCGTGGTGCAGCCCCAGCAGCAGATCCAGGAGGCCGTCGAGCCCCGGGCCGCCTCCGGCCTCACCCCGCGCCAGCTGCTCCAGCGCGCGTAGCCTCTGCTCCATGGCCACGGCCGGAGCCCCGCGCCCGGACTAGAGCCAGGCCGTCGGCATGCCCGCCTGTCGGTGGATCGATCCGTCCGTGCGTCTGTCGGTCAGCGCGGCCTCCCCCCACCCTCCCGCCCTCCCCGCTGTCACCTTCCTCCGCCGCCGCCCGCGCACCCTCACCTGGGCGCCGCGCCCCGCCCTCCTCCCCGCCCCCCGACGGACGGGCAGGTGCGCGCCGGCCAATGGGAGCTGCGGCTGAAGGCGAAGGTGGGAGGGTGGAGGCGCGCGGGGCGGGGCCAACTCCCGGCCAGGAAGTGGCGGGGGGGGGCGGCCGTGAAAAGCAACTCCTGAGCGGGGCAGGGAGGGGGGTCCGTTGGGGTCGAAACGACCGCCGTACCCCTGCGCGGCCCCAGACCCAGCCCTACCTGCTCCCCCGCCCGGCCCTAACCTAGATGGTGCCTGCCCGGGTCACTACAACTTCCTCGCGCCCTGGGCAGCGGCCGCCTCCCCTTTGGCCCAGGGAGAGGGGCTGGGGACGGCCGCGGCCCCGGAGCCGGATGGGAGTTGTAGTTCGCTCTCTCCCGGGTTTGCCCGCTGCGCTTGGCAGCACTCCCTCACCCCACCCCAAATTTCTGATCATACTTTTTTTTTTTTTAATCGTGAGAAGTGACATGAGAGGGAGATCGGATAGGTTTGGTCACACCCATTTGGCAGATGAGCACACTGAGGCTTGGGAGGAGGAAGGTGAATGAGGGTCGAGTGTGAGGGGACTCCGAAGCTAGACCCCAGTGTGGCCTGACCTGGCACCTCCACCACAGGCTTGCTGAGCAGGGCCTGCCGCCCGACTTGGAATGTGGAGGGCAGGAAAGGTCCGAGATGTCTGGAGCAGGCCCCGCGGGGGGAAGGGGCCCAGTCTGTCTAATGCTGTTTCTCACTTCTGCCCAGCTGTGACCAGCTGGCCTGGACCCGAAGCCATGGGGAGGGCATTTTAGTCACTTTGGACAAACATTCTTTCATTAGAAGACCTGTTTAATAGTTTCCTTCACCTTCCAGACTAGGGAGCTCCTTGGGATGGGACAGGGTGGGTTTCCCCGTGTTGGGGGAGGACGCTCTGTCATGTCTGCCAAACGGAGCTGGACACCTCTGGCTGCAGGCTGGGTCTTCTCGACACAGCGGGTGTTTAATGTGATCTTAGGGACATGACGCCTTGGGGCCTTCTAGGGCTCACAATGTGTGAAATGGAAGAAAAATTGGGGTGCTTCTCGAATTCGTCAGGTTGGGAAGAGGAGCCAGGATTCAAACTCAAATCTGGGGATCTTCATCACTGCATCTGGGTCTCCTGGAAGGGTAGGGACGGAGTTTGGACGGTTTGATTGAGGCCTTCTGGCTCTCGCCTAAGGGATTTTGAGCCTTCCTTCGGGACCAGCTCGGGTGGGGCCCAGAGAAGGTAAGAGGGGGCCACATGGGGGCGCCAGAGACCAGGGGAGGGGCAGGCGCTCTGCGGGAATCAAGTTCTCAGCCAGAGTTAGGGGGCAGGTAAGGGGTCCTGGGCAGTAAGACGGACTTCTCTGCTACCCGTACTCCACCGCAGACTGGTCATCCTGATTCCCTATCCCCATCCCAACACAGCCCAGGGGTGGGTATTCAAGGGCCAACTGGCCTGGCCTCCAGGTCCTGGCTTCTTCCCTGTGTAACTCTGGGCTCCTCCCTTAACCTCTCTGAATGCTGAATTCTCAGAAAAACCCGAGCCCCACACTACAAGGGGAGCTGAGTCCTGGGGCCTAAGCTGTGTGGGGCAGGACTGGAACCCGCACTAGGTACTCCCTGCCTCTCAGGCACTTTCAGGTATTTGATTTCTTTTTGGTTGTGTGTTCTTCTTGTCACGTTATTTTGCAAACCTGTTTCCTTACCTGTAAAAGGGGTTGCAGTTGCCTGCTCACCCTTCGCAGTGTTGGTGCCGAAGATCCTGAAAGGCTCACTCTGCCTGCCCGGTCCAGCCCCAACAGGCGGCCAGGCCTCCTTGGCCCTCACAGTCGGAAACAGTGCCTGGACATGACCTTACTTTGTCCCAGCAGCTCTGTTCTCTGATCCTTTGTGAGCCAGGCCCCCAGGGCCACAGAGGTCTGGCCTTGCTCCCCGCAGAGCCCTGCATGCCAGGAGGCCCATGGCCAGCTCAGAAGGGGTCAGTGAATGAATGAGTCCCTCCACCCCAGAACCTGGCCCCCAGCCGGTCTGAGCAGTCAGGCCACTGTCTTTCTTTTCCCTCTTCCCAAAGTGTCCTCATTCAAATGCCTCCTTCATGGCCACTGTTTCCCAGAGGCTCAGGACAGTAGGAGTCGTCTGCTGCCCGGTAGCCCTCACCTACCTCCTAAGCCCCTTTGGTATGGAGGTGCTGGCACCAGCCCTCCCCAGCCTTCGGGCAGAGGTCATGATGATAACACCTTGCATTCTTAGGTGCTTCTTAGCATTTCAAAGTGACTTCAGATCTCTTATCTCCACAAGAGCCCAGCCAGGAGAGTTCTGATTACACTCCTTCACAGATTAGCGCCAGTGCCAGCCCTGGGCTCCTGCCCTCAGTCCACACCCTGCCTGAGTGCCTGGGTTCCCTGCTTAGGTCAGTGCCTGGCAGTAGATGGGTACTGTATGGTGCCCAAGTGCTAGGGCTAGGAGACAGGGAAAGGCCAGACAAGTGGACTTTGCATAGGCTTCTGCAAACAGCCTTCGATGGAGAAAAAGATATCGATTCAGCAATCCAGGCCCAGCAGAAAGAGAAGTTTCTGAAAAGGGGAGAAGCCCAGAGAAGGTGGCTCACCGCAGGGAGAAGCTCCGAGAGCCCAGGAGAAATGAGCAGGGACCCCAGGTCTTCTGAGCCCCAAACCTGGCCCTCTGGAGCTGGAAGGAGGCTCAGACACAATGCAGCCTCCAGGGTCTGCCACCTCCAAAGTTCACATTGCAGTCTTTATGAGGCTAGTTCTGCGGGGCCCCCTCTCCCAAGATTCAGATTCAGGTTTTTTTTTGTTTTGTTTTTAAGATAGAGAAGAGAGAAAGAGAAAGAGAATTTTTTAATATTTATTTTTCAGTTTTTGGTGGATACAACATCTTTATTTTATTTGTATGTGGTGCTGAAGATCGAACCCAGCGCCCCGCGCATGCCAGGCGAGCGCGCTACCGTTTGAGCCACATCCGCAGCCCAGAGAGAGATTCAGTTTTATTGGGGGGGCTGAGGAAGAGTTCCCCAGCCTGGTCTCTGAAGCTGCTGAAAGCTGATGCCCTGCTCTGAGCCACAGGAAGTATGGTGCCCCCTCCTACCTGAGGGGAGCAGGGAACAGACAGCTGGCCGCAGGGTCCTGCAGCCCTGCCCACTGGGGCCCAGGTCTGTGGTCTTGGGCAAGTCCTGTCCCCGGTCTTTGGACACATTTGTGTATAATGGAGAACCGCACCTGCTCAGATGTGAGGGACTAATGAGGCCCATGTATGGCGACCACTGGCTCCTCCCGTGTCTCTCTAGGAGAGCCGGGATTTGGAGTGGGGAGCTCAGTGCACCTGCTTTTGCTGCTTAGGCAACTCGTTCTGGTTTGAAGGTGTATGTTGGGGGTTGGGGGGCTGATGGAGCTGGCTAGGTTGAGCAGCCACTAGTCCCCACCCCAGTCCTTGGCAGCCCCCATCCCACCAACCCCAGGCACTCCAGGGGTGTGTCCTTTGAAATGTCCAAAGCTCCAAATGGGTGGACATATGGTGGTTTTGTCATCCTGGGTTTTCTTCCAAAAACCTTCCCCTGGCTGCTTTAGCGCACCATAGGGGCTCCCACGCTCGCCCAGCTGCAGCCCCATGTGGTTTTGCAATTAATGGTCCCTCTGGGTGCACAGGAAGCCCAGCCCTGAGCCCCCTTGGCCACCACCCCTCTGGCCCATGGGCGCCACCAAGTCTGAGCTGCTTCAGGGAAGGGTGGGACCCCTTGTTTTGTTCCAAGCGTTGGGTGGGGCACTGCGCTCCCCAGACTCCACCCTCCCTCCTCCCCTATAACTGCCCCAGGTATTCAGCAGAGGAGGCCACTGAAGGTGGACGTCCTGGGGACTCTGCCTCCATGAGCATTTGGAGTCTGAGGAAACAGGCTCAGGAGGCAAAAGCCCTGGCCCGGCCCCAGAGTGACACAGCTGGGACTCAAATACAGGCTGTCACCCAGGCTGCCCTCTAAATGCTGCTTGGCTTTTTAAGATTTTTGTCATTAGTTTTTAATTTTTTGTAGAGCTGGGCATGAAACCCAGAGTTCCGTGCATGCTAGGGAAGTGCTCTGCCACCGAGCCCCAGCCCTAGCCCTAGCCCTGGCAGTGACTTCAAACACAGCAGGTATGGTGGCTGGGTGTCCTCTCACCAGCTGGCCTTGGACAAGTCCTATGACCAGAATAATTGAGATAAAAACAGGGCCCAGGGGTGGATTTGTAGTTTTTTGGGGTGTTTTAAGGAGAAGAAATGTTTGTTATGAATGAAATTGTAGAAGGAACCTCACCAGACCAAACAGCCATTGTGGAGGGCAGTGGTAAAGCCCTTGGCCCCTGGGTCCTGGGCTCTGAGGCGCTGCATGGGTAGGACAGTGGGGTGGTGACAGATTGTTGCAGAGGTCTCTTATTCTAGGGCTCAGGAAGTGAGAGCTTCTTTTGCCCCAGCACAGCCTCCCAAGAGGGTCTTCCCACCAGGATCCTGGCTGCGAAGGAACTGGGAAGGAGTCGTGGGATGGGGGGTGGGTCACCAGAAGGGTGGCCACATCCTGATCCACATCCACTGGCCCTTCCTGAACTCCACTCTCAGCCTAAAGAGGACCTCAATCTATGCAACCCGAACCAGGCCTGGGAGCTCTGGGGCAGCCATGGGGTGGGGCAGACGCTATCTTTGTCCTTCCTTCAAGGCTCAGCTCACTTCTTGGCAGCCTCTGGGGGTTCACTGCAGTGGGGGGGGCGGGTGTGTGCTGAGAGTGGACATTGGACGTGCTGCAGAGCCCCGTGGATACAGTGGCCCAATGGAAGAGGGCAGGCCTGGCCATTCCCCAACTCACATTCCAGGAGAGCTCTTGGGGTCTGTTTTCTTTGACTCTTGACAGCTTAATCCACTTCCAAGCCCTG